ACAATAAAGAATTGAGCAACAATTTGCATAACACATATACAAAATTACACATTACTAACATTTAGGATCGCCCTTGGGCGTTTACTGAAATTGGGGTCCCTAGTATCATAACAATAGTTAACAACCACAGGATTGTCCAGAAGTTCCTGTTTATCATAAAATGCCCTAGATAGGCGGCAATAAAAATCACAAAGATCCTCTATTCTTAACTCTTTACGAATTTGGCTATTCCGAATGTACCAGGGGGCATTACATATCATACGCAATACCCCCCGTTTTGGGCAGCTTGTAACTGCCTTCTCAAACTTTTGCACGAGTATGCCCAGACGGGGCATGCATAACTAAGAATTGGACGCAACATGGTTTTGTAAATGAGCAACTTATTATCAATAGATAGAACACTGTTTCGAGCAATTAAGGGGAAGAGTGAAGCTTTACTAGCTCGAAACTTCCTGAGAATATGTGTAACGTGTGGGTTCCATGTAAGAGATTTACTGAGGATCACCCCAAGATAAGGGACCTGCTTGACCCAGGGAATGTCCACACCATACATTTGCAGGTGAGTCGGGAAATTCTTCTTAGTAGTAAACAGTATGGCATGTGTCTTGTCGACATTCACTTTGACTTTCCATTTGGTCAGCCAAGTCTCTAGCGAGTGGATGTGGTGTTGTAGCTGTTGTATTGCTGAACTAACAAATGCACTTTGCGTAAGGATCGCTGTGTCGTCTGCATACATGGCTAGTGTTGTGTTGTGTGTAGTGGGGATGTCGTTCACGTAAATATTGAATAGGGTAGGGCCCAGAAGGGATCCCTGTGGAACACCAGCCCGTATAGGCCGGTTTGTGGATAATGAACCAGAAACATGAACGACAAAGTGTCTACCGGTTAGGTAGGATTTAATTATGTTTGTGATGTAGCCTGGGAGTCCCAGGTTGTGTAATTTGTATATGAGGGCATCCAGCCATACTCTATCGAAGGCTTTGGCGACATCTAAGAAAAGTCCACCAGTGACACGATGTTGTTGCATCCCACTGCTTATTAACTCAACAACTCTGTAGAGTTGATGCGTTGTCGAGTGCTTACGCCTGAACCCAAACTGATAGGGTATGAGGATCTTCTGCTCATCCAGGAAGATGTTTAGTCTATGTAGAATAACTGCTTCCACGATTTTGCTAATTGAGCTTAGCAAACTGATTGGTCGGTAACTCTCAGGAGCAGTCGCAGGCTTGTTGGGCTTTAGCAGAGGGACAATCTTGGCAGTTTTCCAACAAGTTGGGAAGTATTGCCATCGTAGTATGATATTCACTAACTTGGTGAAGTAGAGTATTATCTTGACAGGGAAGTGCTTGATCATCTCATTTGTGACCCGTCTACTCCAGGGCTCTTCCTTTTCGCAATTCGCATGATATAGAGACAGACCTCCGATGGCATGGCTGAGATAATGTTGTCTGTGCATGGCTGTGTTGTAAAATTGGAGTGGAAGTCAGCAATAAGCTGTTCAGTGTCTGAGTCTGAAATGTTGTTAATGCAGAACTGAGATTCCAGATGCTGAGCTAAAAGTTCTGCTTTCTCAGTTCCGGTGTAATGGATCCGTTGAGGGCCGTGAAGGGGCGGAATGGCGTTATAGCATTTTTTGTACCTCTTCACTGCTTTCCATAAGGAGTTATCCTCTGCAGAAAGAGATCTGAGGTAGTTAGTCCAGCGATCTTGTGAGAGTTTATTTGTAAGAAACTTGACCGCTTCGCACAGGCGATTGAAGTTCCTTTTATCATCACGGTGTCTGGTACGTTGATACGCTCGTCTTGCAGCATTTCTCTCTTTAATCAATAATCTGAGCTCTTGAGGCTTGTGTTTTCATACCAGGTTTAACTTCAACTTTGTGCTTTCGCATAAGCATTTTGTATATTTTCAGTGAGGTCCTTGACCAAACTATCAATGTCACTCCCCTTGTGTATCGTGGGTAAAGTGTACTGGGTGTTGGAGAGGGCTTTGGCAAAGACCTGCCAGTCTGTACGAAAGGCCCTGGTGTCTGATGTAGTATATCTGCTGAGGTCCAGAATAATCCTAACAGGATTGTGATCACTTGAAAGTTCGTCCAGTACGGAAATATCCAGTGGAGAACTGGTGTTCCGCAACAAGAAAAAATCAATAATTGCGGTGGACCCAGCAGCATACCGTGTTGGGGTACTTGGAACTGCCAATTTAAACCGTGCCGACGCGGCCAAGGAATAAATCAGTCTGCCTGTTGCATTAGAAGTGTAGCAGTTCCATGCGCGGTGTCTTGCGTTCAAGTCTCCACCAATAATAACATGTGTACCAAGTGTGAGTAGAATTTCAAGGTCTGCCTGAACGACAGCCACAGGTCTCATGGGAGGAATGTAGGTGGAGACAAAAGTGTATGGAGTGTTAGTGTCTGTTGTGATGCAGATAGCTGTGGCCTCTACGGCTGAGAGCTGTGGAATGTTCACGTGATAATGGGGAATGCAGCGTTTGACAAGAAGTGCAGTGCCACCTCCACGTGGGCGAGGAGCGGTAGTACTTCTGTGCGACTTGTAGGTATAGTAATTTGCCACACACAATGGTATTTTAGGGTCAAGCTTGTGTTCTTGTAGGAAAAAGGGAAAAAGGGTAAGTCGGGACTGTGCTCACTTGCAAAATCCCGCAATTCATTAATCTTACGGAACAAACCATTTGCGTTCCAAGTAATAATACTTACGTACCTATTGTTTACACTATACATAATTATTCAACATTGGAAAACACACTGTCAAAAACATTAAATAATATAAACAACTTATCGATTGAATGCTCCGCAGCCCGCAGTTCAGGCATGGCTGCCGAGATTTTTTGAAAAACATTCATAACTGTGGTGCCTTTAAAAACATCACACACCTCTTTGATTATTTTGAGAAAGTCCATAAACATACCCGAACCAACAGTAGCACTAGCAGCATTACCACTGCTGACAGTCTGTTTATGCATATCAACATTAAAATTATTAACAGTATTTACAGATCTTTGAACGTCACCCTTGGCTACACTAGCATAACTGCGCCCGGAGGCAACAGCAGAATAACTCAAATTTGCATTAGAAGTACTAGGCATTTTAACACCATTATTTACATTTTCTGAGTTTGCACTCTTATTCACAGTTTTATTTCCGACTATGCGTCGGGGGAATTTCGGACATCCGCGATAATTGGCGGTGTGTCCTTCTTGCAGACAATTACAACAAATAGGAGAGTCTAATTTTTTAACATTACATTTATCAGTACGATGTGCACCTGCACATTTCACACATCTTGGTTGTAGTTTGCAATTTTCACTACTGTGATGGAAGTGTTGGCAGTTGTGACACTGCACAACATTTCCACGCACTTTATAAGGATGTATTTCAACAAAGAAACATAGCAGTTTTTTTTAACATCATAAATAGATTGCACCCCTGGTACATTCTCTAAATGAACCTGAAACAAAGGCATAGGAGCCTTAGATTTGGTTCTGTGCATTTGGGTAACTTTTCGAGGTTTATACTTTAAATTAACCAGCTCCTCAAAAATGTCATCTGAGGGGCAATCGATAGGTAAACCTCTTATAACTATTTTGATGGGCCTATCCATCTTTCTGGTAATTAAATAATGATCTACACTTTTTTCATCCAAATATTTTGTTATCTGACGGTGATCATTTTCCGTTTTCGGAAAAACTTTTAAAAACTCACCAGTAACTTTAGCTGCAAAGTCTAAATTAGTTTCAGCCCTCAATTTTTTTAGAGAAATCCGAAAATTTAATTGGAGGCTTCACCATTATCGGTTTCACCTTCGGTTGTTGCATTTCAATAACCTCATTCTCTTCACTAACTTCCATATCATTATTAGTGGCAGTATTATCTGCATTAGCATTTTCACCTAGCTTATCAAATTTATTGCTAACATTAATTTCTGCATTAGCTTTGACTAATTTAGCAGGCCGAGCCGTATTACGCGGCTGTGTAAAGCCTTCTGAATCCTGAATTTCGCTCACGCATCTTTTTTCCTTTTTCGAAGGCCGTTTAAGCAAAATTTTTGTTTTTCTCCGCTAGGAATTTGTGCAATTGCACCAGATTTATCACTAACATTTTTTACACTTGATATAGTATCATTACAGTTAACAGAATTAACAGTAGATATAACCTGCATCTTAGGGACATGCTTAACATTCACATTCAACTTATCACAAGATAAATTTACAATACTAGGATTTTGGGCACTAAAAAACGTCGCACTTACCCTGAAATAACAAAGCCAGTCTTTTGGCTATTCCACTCCTTTTTTGGTGTATATCTAGACGTTTTTGCTTATCCTCCTCACTGGATAATGTATTGAGATCATCTTCCGTTAACTGCTCATTTACATGAACTGCAACATTCAGAAGCAGAACTTGCTGAAGCGCGAGTTGATAATCCTCCGCATCGTAACAATCCTTGTTTAATAGCTGACTCCAACCTTTTCCTAACACCTTGTCTGCAAACGCGCATATCTCCTCGGGTAAACCAGAGAGATTTTCTTTACTAACGTTCACAATCTCGGGCGGAGGAAGCGGCGGGTAATCCTTCGGATCCATTACTGACACTAGCACGTGTTAGGCTTAACACCCACAACGCACACCATAGCACAAAACACGGTCAAAAATGTATTAATCCACAATAATTAAGACCAGAATTACAGTAGAAACACACTGAATAACACAAAACGCTAATCGGATCCAGAATAATCCACTCTTCATAAGAAAAAAAACAAGCTACATTCGCTCACAGGCTCGCAGCAATTTTCCCCTTCTCTTCTTTATTCGTGTATTGCAAACTATGTGTTTTAGCAAGGCCAACTAGATATCTATCGATAGTTGGCTTTGGCTTCAAGCATTCATATTCAATATTTAATATTCGATATTGTAGTATGGCAACCATCTCATATTAAGACATTGTCTAGTATTTACAAACTTACCGGTGAGGAAGTACATAATGATGTGGATCAGTTTCGGCTACAAATTTAATTGCAAGAAAGGACTTTCGTAATAAATAGAAAACTTATGCTATTTTTTATTTTAGCATTCACAAAATGGCTGATGAAAAAGGTTAGCGAGAATCAATAATTATTTCATTTTGTGAATTTCACGTTTTGTTTATAAATACATATTTTTAAAGAATTAAAATGTTCTAATTTTCAGAACTGAGAAGTGAATTACAAAATATTGATAAAGATATATCGCAGATTGACCGGGCTATCGAAAAATTATCTGCAAGAAAGGAAAAACTGATTTCAAGGAAAAAAATAATTCGACAGCGTCTGCAAGAGCATGCTTCCGAAAAACTTGCGAGTCAAGACTGGGAAAGAACAGGTATGACTTTTATTTTGTATAAAAATTATTGTTTGGTTATTATTGGGAGTATATCATGCGATGCTAACGAGTGATCTATTTGGTGTATTTTATTACATATTCATATTCTCTGAGTCTGATAGTTCCGTGGAATTTTTATGAAATTATCAAAATTTCCCTCATAAATGAAAGAATTTGTATCATTCGAATATAGAAAAATTTCAGAGTGAATAGTGATACATTACCATTATTAAGAGTAAAAGCAGCTGTCAGCAAAAGAAATATTTTGCTCAATTAATAATGACTGCCACAGTAAAAAGATAATACCATGATTAGCCAAAGTACATTTTCTTTATTATTTTTGATGATTTTGGGGCTAATCTTTAGAATATGGTAACAGGTAGTTTGGCGACATTTTGGTAAGGCGATAAAGGTTACTAGCTAGGACTTTAGCAATAATCTGAGAAGTACACAGTCGAATCACAGATTATTTTGTCTCAGAGAAATGAGAGATCATGAGACATGTAATGTGACATTTTCCGGAAAATTTCGATTGTGATTTTAAGCACTTAGAAACAATATCGCTGCTAAAGTGCAGAATCGCCCACTTATTTGTTTGGTGCTTTTTACAAGAGTAAGAACTGGATTTTTGTCAATTTTCTTTGACCTTTTTAAGTGAAAATAGGTCGATGTGTGTATAGATAAAGTCAAGAGCGTGTGCAATGCCATTTTTGTGCAATTCTGGGATGCTTTTTTAAGTGAAAATAGGTCAACATGTACTTGGATACCGCGTATGTGCAATTCGTAAAAACACGGCAAGCAGTTTGCGATTCTGAACTTTTTTCCAATTTCGCACCTAATCTTCATCATGATTAAACATTTTTGTTCCATTAAAGTTCTAGTATAAGCGTAATTCAGCTAGCAGATTGTTGGAAAAAATGTCGAGTTAAAAAAAAAAAAAAAAAAAACATGCCTTTACTTCATGAAAACAAAATGGTGGTTTACGTACATGCAAAAACCACATTTTAAACACACAATTTAAGCTAAAAATCCGAAACAGAAACAAAAAATTTAGATAGCAAAAACGTAAAGTTTCTAACCAAAAATATTTGACAAGACTTCATGTACACAGCGATATGTTTTAACTTAAAAAAACATCACAGAACTGCACAATGTATGCAGCGAAGGAATCTATGAACTACGCACACCCAGCTTAAATAAATTAACATAACAATAAATTTCAAAGAATACCATGTACACAGCGTTCTATTTAAACTTAAAAAAACATCTACGAATTGCACAATCTAGGCAGCGAAGGAATCAAAGAACTATGCACACCTTGCTTTAATAATTAACATAACAACAATAAATTTCAAAGAATACCATGTAAACAGCATTCTGTTTAAACTTTAAAAAACATCTGTGAACTGCACAATCTAGGCAAAATGCACTAAAATTTCAAACAATTCAAAAAAGCAACAATAACGACAGAAATTCATACTAGAAAAACAATAAACATAACATTCTACGAAATAAGAACAAGAATAAAATGCACTTACCATGAATGAATGCTTGGTTGATCTTTACAATATGTTAACTGGATCTTTACAATATGGTAACTAGGCGACATTTTGGAGGCGATAAAGGTTACTACCTGGGACTTTGGTAATAATGTGAGCAGTACTCAGTTCCGATTACGCATTATTTTGCGTGAGGGAAATGAGAGATCATGGGATATGTCATGTGATATTAATGGACGAATTACGGTTCTTTAATCGGAAAAGGGGGGAAATCGGGAAAAAATCTGGAAATTTTGTATTTGGCTTTATTCTGTGTTGTGTGAAACAGTGTTTTTTAATTTTTGGATCCCATGGCCCTAACTAAAGTGAATTTGAAATGGGTATTTAGTGGTATTGTGATAAAGAGAAGTTTGTTTTTATTTAGCGGAGGAAGTATGGAGGAAAAAAAATTCGTAAAAAAAAAATCTTTCAATAATTTTAAAGATTGAATAAATTAAGAAAAGTGTATCCGGACCACGTAATCAAGATTCTGAAGAAGATTAGGTAAGTTAGTATTTTTAATTATTTGAGGATATTATTTTTATGCATTGTTCTAAATGTAAGGTGGAAAGGAATTTGGTATTATTGGGAAAATTGTTATTAGCAATGATTTAGTTTAAAGTAATTAGGATTGTAAGGTAATTTTTATTAATTTAATGTATGTGCTCATTTATATTTTAAGTAAAAATGTTTTTGAATTTAATTATATTTTAATTAAATGATAGTTATTTTGTGAATTTTATGTTTGTAGGAATTTGGTATACGTTTAAGTTGAAGTAAACGTGCATGGAAATAATTTAAATATTTGATACTAAGTATTTGTAATGCTTGCGGTATGAATTCGTTGGTGACGTGTATAATGTAATAGATGATTTAGAGGTAAAAGTTTTTGGATATTTTATTTATTTTATATGTGGAAATGTTCATATTTGTAAAGGGTAAATACTTTTTCGCGATCAGGTAATTTCATATATGTTCTTTTTACCGGGTTTAAAGATTGAGAAAATTGTCATGTATTTTCGTGAAATTTTTCTAATTTATGAGAAAAAAGCAGTGTACATGGATATAGTGAAGAGTGTGCGCAATGCCATTTTTGTGCAATTCTGGGATGTTTTTTTTAAGTAAAAATAAGTCGACGTGTACATGGTTTAGTGATATTTTAATTAAATGATAGTTATTTTGTGAATTTTATGTTTGTAGGAATTTGGTATACGTTTAAGTTGAAATAAACGTGCATGGAAATAATTTAAATATTTGATACTAAGTATTTGTAATGCTTGCGGTATGAATTCGTTGGTGACGTGTTATAATGTAATAGATGATTTAGAGGTAAAAGTTTTTGGATATTTTATTTATTTTATATGTGGAAATGTTCATATTTGGAAAGGGTAAATACTTTTTCGCGATCAGGTAATTTCATATATGTTCTTTTTACCGGGTTTAAAGATTGAGAAAATTGTCATGTATTTTCGTGAAATTTTTCTAATTTATGAGAAAAAAGCAGTGTACATGGATATAGTGAAGAGTGTGCGCAATGCCATTTTTGTGCAATTCTGGGATGTTTTTTTAAGTAAAAATAAGTCGGCGTGTACATGGTTTATGTGTATGTGTTATTTTGAAAAACGCGTAAGGAGTATGGTATTGTGCACTTTTTCCCAATTTTGCAGTGAATATTTGTCATGATTAAGCAGTTTTGTTTGATAAAATTTCTAGCATAAGTGTAATTCGGCTAGTAGATTGTTGGAAGAAGTGTTCAGTAGATAAAAAGAAAAGAAACATGTCTTTACTTCGTGAAGACAAAATGGCGGCGGGGAAAAAAAAATAGAGGGTTGCTGTAGAAGAGTTGGTTGCCAAATTTTCGCCAAAAAATCGCCAAGTTACCATAATGTAAAGATCAACCAAATGCTTCTTCAAGCAGCAGAAATACCAATTTCAAACATCACCAAAACAATTTCACTACAAATTTGTTAAAAGCATCTCCCGTTTCAGAACAATGATGGAAAAATGTATAAACCACCAAATAAGACACAAAATCACATTTCCGATTATAAGTAAGCAATGTAGCTTTGACATGCTCCCACGTAATTTATATCATATTTATATGACAGCCAGACTTACTATCCACAAAATTGATACTATCTTTCACAAATAAATGTTCAAGTATTTCAGAGAAGAAGGTATTTCTTCTTTGAAATACTTGTGGAATTTTCAGCCACCCGAAAAAATAGTTGTACCAGGTACACGACTAAAATTTGCCAACACGTCATAAATCACTTAATTACCACACACCACATAAGCCAGCTAGCAAATCTAAGTTTCCACATAAAAAGGATTGCCATAGAAACTAAGATTGTTCCATTACTAAGTTCCAAAAGTAACATTGTTCACTTAAATCAGGCTTATCTGTAGCACAGGAATAAAGAGCAAAAAAATAGTGTGAAAAACCTGGATTTGTTTATTCCCTTCCCTTTTCAAAAATTTACGTGTGCTATTTTAGATGCATTATTTTATTTTCCAGTGTATACAAGTACATTATTGAGTAATAATCAAGTACTGAAAATTAAATATGGACCAACTTTTTTCCTCTAAAGACATTTGCTTACATTGTTTTTAAATATTTAATTTTCATTGCATATTGGCAGTAATTGATGTTAAACCAAAATATCAGTAAGCTCTTGTTCTCCTTCTTTCATTTTTTTTTTCCTTTTAGTCCAAAGGGGCAGTTTGCCCTGAAAGCCTAATAATTTCGTTTTGGCATTTTGTGTTGATTCGCAATAAACGTTGTTTCACTTTTCGAATTGTTGCCACCAAATATTCTCGCATTGTAATAAAACAACGGTACCTAGAGCCATCAAAATTTGAATAATGTAATCTTCCATGGAATATGGTCATGTAAAAGCCCTAATTGGAATTTGAAATTTGTTTTATTATCAATATCATATTTTGGAACACTTTAACGAATTTTTGATTGACAAACTAAATGATTTCAAAGCAAGCAATAGCAATGGAAAAAAAAAAAAAAAAAAAAAAAAGCATTTTAATCTCCAGTGCATGAGACTCTGTATTGGAAATTCTAAAGATATGCTCATTTAAAAATTATTTTACAATACTGCTGTTGAACTGAATGTTATGGTTTGAGTATGTAGAACATGATATTTAATAAATAAAGGTAACGCACAAAATGTTAAAAAAATGCCCCTTTGGACATATTTTAAAATCTGAAACCTTTCAGATTTTTGTGTTTTTCTTTTTCCTTTATTGACGATTTCCATGGCAAAGCATATATTAGTCATTTAGTAACAGTCATAAATATGATCTTAACATACTTTTGCAATTTATTTGAGCAACAAAATTTGTAGAATTTTTCTTCAAGAATAGCGAAGAAAGAAACTTCTTGATAACATCACAATATGTAGAATAGACTAAATGGATTAATGTGATGAAGACTGAAGAGTTTCAATGTGCGTTATTTAAGCCATGTCCAGCTAATGATTTTAAATTGTAGCCTTTTTTAGATTTTAACTTTGAGTTCTAAAAAAGGAGAAACCCTAGCAACTGCATGAATATAGCCAATGGATCTATGTAATTCTTTGCAAGCTTTCAAGGAAACAAATACAATTGGCTTGCTATATGGACGTTTTTGCTCCTCATATGTAATTTAACACGAGACAGTATCTTTTCTTGAATTTTGTGAATCATAGATGGGTATTGACTTGATTCATGGAACAAGATCCTTCCATTAAAAGATCTTTCGTTACAAGATCATTCTGAGTGTATATTTCCTAAACCAGTTGATTCTTGAATTTCTTTAATAAATTACTTAATTTCCTATCAGTAAAAGCCCTTTTTTACTTTACATTAATTTCATAATTTGATTAGTTTTTTAATTGTGGACTTTATTCTCATCCTACTAATAATTCTCCTAATGTGAAAAGTAATTAATTTAATTGGAATTTTAGTTCATCTATTATCAAGTACTTCCTCCTTTTCCCTAATGTGTGTGCTATATGCATATGAAAGCTATTTTAGATACAATATCAGATTTGAATAATTTGATAATGCATTTTTAACATTTTGTTCAAAATGTAATATAGATATACAATTCTAAATATGTATCATCTTAAATAGTTAAATTATTTAATGTTTTTATAGTGTACATAATTTTTGTGCATGCACATGAATAAAAAATCAAATATTTTTTGCTGGATTTATTTCCAGATCATTCCTGGTCAAAGAAAGTAAATGAAGTGCTAAAGTCAGTGTTTAAATTGGAAAAATTCAGACCGTATCAGTTGTCAACTGTAAATGCCGTCATGTCTCGACAGAATTGCATTTTATTAATGCCTACTGGAGGAGGAAAGAGTTTGTGTTATCAGTTACCTGCCATGGTACTTGATGGTAATCTTGATACTTAGTCTTTTTATTTGCATATTTTAAATTTTATAAAAAATATTTGTATCTCACATGCAGGTGTAAGATGCCACTTAATGTGATTGCAGTTAATGTTATCATTTGAATATTGTAATCAGATTTTCTGCCCATTTGTGTACAAATACATTGATAATTCTTTGTTTGCTGTAATCAGAATTGATTTTTATTTATTAAAGTCATGAGACCAAATAGTGTTTAATTCAATTTCTTTTTAAATCAGAATAAAGTTTATCATTTAAATCAAGTATGTGACAAATTTAATCACTTGTACTCTTTCTTTATAGTTCTGAATAATAGAGATATTTAAAAGATTTATATAAAATCAATCTATTAAAATTAGAATGAATTCAGACTGTATCAGTTGTCAACTGTAAATGCTGTCATATCTAGACAGAATTGCATTTTATTGATGCCTACTAGAGGAGGAAAGAGTTTGTATTATCAGTTACCTAATAAGGTACTTTATGGTAATCTTGATACTTTTTATTTGCATGTTTTAAATTGTATAACTCTGAAATCTAGGAATAAATCTGAAATAAAAATGTTTTTCTGGCAGACAGCTGCACAGCATATAATGAACGTCCTCCTTAAAATACAGTGATGCTGTTTTTCTTCCTGCAAGTATTATATCCATAATTCAACCTTGAGATGAAAGGATGTTATGTTTCTGATGCAAGTTCAGAAATCATTCTAATGTGTAAGATATGGATGCAAGTATAAATGAATCAAAAAAAGTTACCTTTTTGATAAGTTGCATATGTTGAATGTATCTGGAGCTGCATTTTAGACAGTAAAAAATTCTTTTTAAGATGCCAGTCTCTTGAATAAAATAGAGAAAAATGAAGAATAAAATGCAACAAGAGGGAAATTAACTGAAAGGAATTTGAATTATAAATGATAGTGTTGCACTAACAACACAGATTGTAAAGAAAAAGATCTGCATAAACGTATCCAAGCACAACTGAAGAAAAACTTTCTAATAAAATGATAAATATATATGGAATAAAAGTGGTTAAAATAATAAAAGCAGTTGAGGTCATATTCATGAGGAGTTTTCATAAAATCATATCTGTAACTGCTGAGATGAGAGATGACATGTCAGCAATATTGCAATTAGTAATATGGCATTATGATAGTAAAAATCTAGAAAGGCAATGAAGGTAAATATTTTAAAAACAAACATTTCAATAACAATTGAATACAAATTATTTATTATTTCATTTCTAATTTATATTGTGTTTTTAATATACAGTCAAAAGTCGTTAATTAAGACCCCCATAATCCGGAATGATCTATAATCCGAACCTCAAAGCTACAAACTTTCTGCGCATGCGTCAAGCAAATATGCGTGTGCGCATGCATGTTTAATGTATAACGGATGGTATAAGCTAAAAATTATCTAATTCAGTTAATGTTGCAAATTGCATTGTTCCTTAATCTTCGAATTGGATCCTGCGTATTATTTTTTGCTGACTGTTAGAGCAATTTTATAAAAGTAAGCTTGAACTTTTGATTATGTCAAATAGAATTTCCAATATATATATACTAATATGTAAAGGATCTGCAAAGCGAAAGTATGTTTTGAAGTTCATTAAACAAAAAGTGGAATTGCTGCAAAAAATGGATAAAGGCATATCCTTCGTTTCTCTAACCATTCCAAAATCTGTTTATCAATTTCACACTGCTCTGTGGCTCGCAATGAATTGGAAGTTGATCTGTCAGCACTATCCTTATCTTTCAGGGCAGATGTTTTTATTTTATTTGGCTTATAATTCCTTACTAAATGTAGTATTTCATCTCGATGTACTCCGTCTTTGATATGATTTAAATCAAATTCTTCGTCATTATAATTTGCTTCCGACAGTGAAGAAAGTGACACAGAGTTTATTGAAAACGAAAAAATTTCGCGTGACAAATTAGTCGGTATACTCTACACAGCAATTATAGGACTTGAACAGCGGAACTTTGAACTGAAGTAATTATGTCTGTTTATAGAATTAAAGAGAAGTATTATCACATAAAACGAAGCAACTTAAACAACTTACATTAAAGAAATGTTTAATAAAGTAACCAAATAAATATTAAGCTTTTTTTTTTTTTTTTTTTTTTTGTAATTTTGATACCCTTTAGATCATAATCGATCTTATTTCATAAATTACGATTTCATATTTTAAATTTTATAATTTCTGCATGCCATCTTACCAGACTTAAACTGATGATCTATAATCCGGAAAAATCGATAATCCGGAATCGCCAAAGTCCCGATGAGTCCGGATTAACGACTTTTGACTGTATAATCACTAGATTATTAGTTTCATTCATATATTTGGTGGTATTTTTCTTAACATTTAATGTAATTAATGACATTCAATTAATTTTATCAAAATAGGTGTAGACAAATGTAATTACAATCAAGCAGTGCCTGCTGTCGTATGATTTTCTATTTAAAAATATTTCCTTGCATTCATTAATGTATGTATGTAATACAGGGTGGTTATAATTAAAGTGACCCTATTCAGACCCCCCCTAGAACCTGTTCTACTTATTGAATTTCGATGAAATATGGTATATATGTTATAATGACCATGGGGAAACGATTTACGCAATAAAAAAATTTCATAATCATCTTCTTCAAACCGTTCTTTGGCATCGGTCCTTTTTGCAATCCCTTTCAACAGCAATATTCAGGCAATGCAATTAATCTATTGCCGCCATTTTGATAAAGTAATTTTACCAGTAAAGCTTGATCTTTCTTCTGTAAGGGAATGAGTAACAATGACAAAGGCACACAGAATGATTTTCTGACTCTGACTGCAAGTCTTTTTATAGGTTTGACTAATTTGCATGAGGAATTTTTGAAAATTACCATCTGGTGGTTAAAATTTGAACTACTTTTATATTGCTGAAATCTTTTCCCTTTAGTCCATATAACATATATGCAAAGTTTCATCAAAATCCGATAAGCAGAACAGGTTCTACAGGGATCTGAATAGAGTCACTTTAATTATAACCACCCTGTATATATATCCTGTATGTATCCTGTATGTATCTCCTTTTTTAGGTATTACTTTAGTAGTTTCTCCTTTGGTATCATTAATGGAAGACCAAATTATGGCATTGGAAGCATTAAATGTTCCTGCAACTCTTTTGAATGCCAGTAGTACTAGAGAACATGTTAATTATGTTTCCAAACAAATGACAGAGAAAAAACCGGCTATAAAACTCCTATATGTCACTCCTGAGAAGCTGGCGAAGAGTAAACGTTTTATGGCAAAGCTCGAGAAGATGTACAAAATAGGATTATTTTCATTGCTTGCCATTGATGAAGTTCATTGCTGTTCACAGTGGGGACATGATTTTAGAACAGGTAATGGATTTGTGTACTGAAAAATAAAATATTATATTTGAAAACAATATTATATATTCATAATAGTCATGAAAATGCACACTGAAGTGTAACCATATATGTATATAAATAAATACGGGTAGATCATATAAAAATAAACCTATATAAAGTGCTTAGTTTGTTATATATGCTGTGCTGCATTAGTGAAAAATTATAATCATTAGCCCAAAGGAGCATTAACCTGGAAGGGCTATTAGTCTCCAAACGGCATTTTGTGTTGGTTCACTATAAACGGCATATCACTTTTTAAATTGTTGGCCACCCAATATTATTGGCCTGTATTATATTTTAAGAAATTAAATGATGAATGTATGTATGCTTCTCGCATTATGAAAAAACAATAGTACCTAAAGCCATCAAATTTTGAATAACATAATCCTCCACCCATACATAAGCACCTGGAAGCTTTATTAACAGACTTGATGATTTCAAAGCGACCAATGGCAACACTGTATGAAAAAAAAATTATCTCCAGTGCAGGAAACTGTTTATCGGAAATTCTAAAGATATACTGCTTTAAATGTTTTGTGGTATTGATGTTGAATTGAATCTTATGTAGTTTAAATGCAATGAACAAGATATTTAGTAAATGAAGGTAACATACAAGAACATTAAAAAAGCACCTCTCTGGGTGTAATGTAAAACATGAAAGCTTTGACTTTTTTATTTTTTGAATTTGTAAATTGCCACATTTATAGAATTGCTTCAAGAACTCATCTAGCCTTGTACATTTTGTATAAAAAGAATGATATGTAATGTTTATTGTGCAAAGATGCCTTTGTTTTTTATAAATATATTTTTCATGTAGTGCTTAATTTCTTAAATCAGAATGGCAAGAATCTTGTTGAAAGCCATTAAATAATAAGCAAAAATAAATAAATAACATAAAAACACTTTAATTAAAAAAAAATTTAAATTACGTCCAAAAGGGCATTTTTAAACATTTTATGTGTTATCTTTATTTATTAAACATCATGTTCTTTGCACTTAAACCATAAAATTCAGTTCAAGAGCAATATCGCAAAATAATTTTGAATTGAGCATATCTTTGAAATTTCTGATATACAGTCTCACGCTCTGGAGATAAAAGTGTTTTTTCTGTACAATGTTGCCATTGCTCTATTTGAAATCCGTGAGTTTGTTAATAAAAAATTCATTTAAGTTTTACAAAATATGAAATCGATAGTAAAATGAATTCCAAATTTCAAATTTGGGCTTTCAGATGCCCATATTTGCAGTAGGATTATGCCATTCAAAATTTGATGGCTCTAGGTACTGTTGCTTTATCACAGTGCGACAAACATGCATACATTTATGGAGATTCTTCATTATTTAATTTCTTCAAATATAATACAGGGCGACAATATTTGGTGGCAAGAGTTTGAAAAGTGAAACGGACATTTAGAGTGATTCGAAGCAAAATCGCAAACTGAAAACAATAGTCCCTCAGGAACAAAGCCCCTTTGGACTAATAATTAATGAAGCATTAAATAATGAACTATTAAAATGAAATATTTAAAAGTAAAGAAAAATATTATGAAATTAAATTAATTAATGAAAATGTTAAATTTTATCGTAATGTTGCAATTTAATTACATAACAGTGTGTTGCAATTTTTCTTATTTGGGTAATTGCCCAAATGGATTTAAGCCATATTTGCATGTGTTGCATATTTATTTTGATGCTTGATTTCACAAAAATGTCGGAAACATCTGGTAAAACTGTTTCATGCTGACAAATAAACATTATATAAATGATGTGCAATGGTACAATTTATGTACTGACAGTTAGTTTGTATCTAGTCATGTTTGAGTGCTAAGCAAAGTGTGCAAATCTTCACTAGTCAGAATGGATTTCTGTTTTATTGACAATTTTTGCCAACTGACATAGTTCAGATTATTATGGGAGAGCCAGAGCAGCAGGGATGCTGCTTAAAAGGTTTAGGCTTAGTCCAGAAAAATTTCGCATCAAATTTACAGAATCCCAGAAAAACACTCAAATCACTGCTTTTGAATTAAGGAATTATTTTGAAGAATGGATCGCAGGTTAAAGATTTTGAACTTTTAAAAGATCTCATGATGACGGACCAAATGATGTGCCGTGTAAATTTCAAAGTGCAGCAGCATTTTATTAACAAATAGTCGAAGATAATGACTCCAGATAAATTAGCAAATGTGAGAAGAGTATGAAAATGTAACCCTGGAAGAAATGTGAACCCTGGAAGAAGATCTCTCCTATTCATAGTTTGAAGTCACAAAAGGGCAATAAAAATCATTCAAATTCAAGACATTCACAAAAATATCACCTGTCTGGAGGGGAAGCTAGCTATGCGTCTGAAAAAAAGAAAACTCTCCAAAATCAGAATGAGTGTCATTTTGGTGTAAGAAGACCACATAAGTGTTATTCTTATGGATCAATGGAACACTTAAGGCCTCAATGCCCGGAAGTTCAAAAAGATTTCAAATCACCATTCATTGCAGGAGATTGAAGAAAATTGTTTATCCCCATACTTGACAATGGCTAAAGTGAACGAGTTTAATCTTCCAGTGTTGAGAGATACCGGATCATGTATTACATAATATGCAACATTTACATCACTCCTGCGATGTTGACGGGTGAAACTGTTTGCATGAAACAGCTGATTGATGCTACTCCATTTGCTTACCTTTAGCATATGTCAAAATAGAAGGGGCATTTGAACAGATAATAACGAAGGCAGGGGCAATTTGTAATGAGCTTGATGAAGAACGTTATCTCCCAGAAAACCAGACAGGCAAAAAATTAGAAAAAAATAAACTTGATTCTCCTTTCACGAAATTGCGGGAAGATACAAAAATCAGACTGAACACGACAGATTTAGGCCCACAAAGGAAATTTCTTCCCACAGTACCGAATCAAGCAACCTTTTGTCCCGACAAAAGAACTGAGGGAGGCCAAATTGCTCCTGCCTGATACAGAGGTGAACAAACTGCCACTTCTTTCAATAGACAAAGCTATCTGACTTACAAAGAGGAAGTGTGAATTTAGAGCCATTGGCCATTTCTGAAGCAGTTAAGGCAAGAAATGTAATTACATGCGGACTTTTGCCCATGATACTTAGGGAACAGGAAAAATTAGATATGCCAATTGGGGCTTTGTACCAACCAGACAAATTCTCGGTAAATTTGCTAAAGCCAGAAATTTTCATAAGCAGTTTGCCCAAAACACTGTGTAATGTAAATTTACCAGGGAAAGGAGAAAGATCCTTAATTCATCATTTAGTTATGCTATTTTCTTATACTGAGATGTCTAAAGAAGGTAATTATAGTTACTTCATGAATGATGTAAATCATAATGAAATTGTTATTTCTTATGTAAATGCCAGATCAAAGGTATATGATTATTTTGAGGTCAAGTGCAGTAGTTCTGGATCATGTTTTGGGAGAGATTACCAGGAACTGAAAATCAAATATCTGCAGGGCTTTCCCCTTTCAGCCTGTATAGATATATAATGATTAAGAATGTATATTACATATTTCAGAAAACTAAATTCTATACTGTATGTGTGTGCTTAAGCTTAGTTCTTAGTAATTGTTTATGTGTTTTTTTTAAATTAATGGTCAATATAAGTTCCTATTGTTTTATCCTTGGTACTTAACCCAGCGTAGTGTAAAAATTTTTGTGTTAGTATTCATTAATTAATGTTGACTTTTGAGTAACTGACTGTGATAGTTAAGTAAGTACGAGGAATTGGAGTTTTGAAACCCCTCTTCCGGGAGGAGAAGGGTTGTGACAAATTCTCACCTCTGATAAATATCTGTTTAATTAGAGAACTAATCCGTTTAATTAAAGAAAATTTTTTTTAATACTGTCTGAATTGTTAATAAATGGAATATGCAGTTTGGATTTTGTACCACATCTTTTTATCTTTACAATCAGAAAATAATCGAGGCTTTCCGAGCTATTCGTTGATATTGTACATCATTATCCTGTAATTTTATTTCTTGTGAGACAAAATTATAAAATTGATTGAACTGGCAATATTTTATTATATTTTATTCTCTGTGTTAGTACTAGTATGTTATGAAGATAAGCATAACAGTGTTTGTTAATGAAAAAATAGAAATTTTTATGCATGTATGTAGCCATTGATTGATGTTTCTATATGTAGCTGGGCAGGAAAGAGAATTCCATTACTTATTTTTCTTTCAATTTTATTTTATATTATATCAATAACATCTAAACTGAATTTTTATTTGTGATTGTTAATTCAGGACCCAGCTTAGAATAAAATTTCCAATATGTTATCCAAATATGTTATTCAATAAATGTTGACTGACATATTTATGTTTTAGAAAATTGCAAAGAAAAAATAAATAATCTGTTTTCAGATTTTTCGAAGGCCTGTTAGGAATTTAAATGAAATATACGAATGTGCATTAGGTTGACAGTGATAAATTTTTTTAAACAAATTTATTCATATTATTTCAAATATACTCACTGTTTTGGAGTTGGTTTGGTTAATTTAGTTATGGCAAAGTGCTCAAGGGCTATCTGTCTGTGGGGACAGATGCCTTCGTCGGGGACTTTCTAAAGGAAACTGGCATACATGTCACACATGGAGCAAACCATGAAAACACCCACACAGCTATACCATTCACCGGGATTCAAACCATGGACTGAAATACCAATGTTCAGCGATTTTACTGCTCGGTTGCTGGTGGGCCTGTTTTGGAATTCTAGGGTTATATTTGTGGTTTCTGATTGGGATAATACTTTTTTTCTGAATAGACTCAATTCTCTATTTATTTATTTTTTAAAGTTAAAACTGGTCAAAATTTGCATAAAAATTTCTGTTTGCTGTGTTTTTAATTTAGTTAATTTGCACTGGTTTATGAAATTTTCAGTGTTTTGTTATGGATGTTTGTTTTGTGTAATTTTTGCTGTTTGGTATGAATGTTTTTTGTGTTTTTAATTTCATTAATTCATTACTCTTTTATGTTATTTTCAGTGTGCTGCCATTTTTTAAAAAATGGCTACCGTCTTTTATGTGTTAGATTGGCAACTTTGCAGAAGATCTTGGCGGATAATACAAAAGTGCCTATATGAATTTATAGCTAATAAATATCCCTTTCTACTTCTGTGACTATTGTTGTCTTATCAATTTCAGATTACAAATTTCTTGGGATTATGAAACGTCAGTTTCCAAATGTTCCAATCCTTGGTTTAACAGCTACTGCAACTTCTTCTGTGATTGCAGATGTTCAGAATATTTTAAATATACAGGGATGTTTAGTACTGAAAGCTTCCTTCAATCGTCCAAATTTGAAATATGAAGTAAGTATATCTTAAGGTATGTGCTTAGTTGGGATTAATCAATAAATGTAAGCTGTGTAGTTGTAACAAAAATAAGAAACATATAGTTGAAATTCTTTATTGTATCTTTAATAGTAATATTTTCTGTTAGGTAGTTTGTAAATCATCATCTCAAAAAGACAATGTCAATGAACTGGAAAACTTATTGAAAAATCGTTTCAGTGGGCTTTCAGGTAAGTTAAAAAAAACTTTGTTTATGGAAAAGTGTTCAGAAATAATATCCATAGTTTAACTGCTGTTATTATAACATTTATCTGTTCTTTCCCCCCCTTTTTTTTTTAAATTTCAAAGTGCCACTAAAAACCTGTAATAAAAACCATGCAGATTATTTCCGTAATGAAAATTGTGAAATCCTGTTTTGAGATTCAAAACTATGTTTCGTATCAAATCTAAACTGTGCAATTAGAAACAGAACTTAATTTGTTTGGAAGTTAGTTTCAATTGTACACATCCAAAAGATGCATTATTTTAGGTAATGCCAGTAAAAAGACTTTTTCAGAAATCTTAATATAAGTTGTAAATTATATATTTTGAGTTTTAGGTGTGCATAAAAATGATTAACAGTATGTAAAGCAAGTCTATACCTATTCCAAACGTATTCTATTGTTCAATATTTTTCATGGTTTTAAAGCTGTAAGTGTCCAAACATTCATATTTGTACATTCAAGCAGATTTATAGGTTGGAATTATTAAATTTACCTGAATTTCACTAAATGCTTGAAGAGTGAATTCTGATCTAGAATTAAAAAAAAAGAAAGAAAGGAGAAGAAACAGTTGCATTGAATAATAAAGAGCCAGATATTACTTTTAGTGCCCTCCAATCTTGCATTAGATATAAAGTGTTAAGAGGACTACTGCTTTATGAAGTGCAAATAAATCATTGCTCATATAGATTAGAAGTTAAAAATTCAAAATAGCTAATGAAACTTAATATATAAAGTAGGATTAGTGAATATAATATTGTAATAGCTGTATGATATATTATGGAGAGTTGCACATAATAATGATAGTTCAGTTGAAGAATTAAAGTACTTTTTAAATAAGATTAAAAATTGTCAAATCATACCAATCACATTTTTGAACTGAAAATATCAATGATTTATCATGGATTTGCAGTCTTAGTTTTAAAATGAACATGTTATCAAGAGCCTTAAGTTTTATCCATGTTATGCTTTTTTGAAGACTTTTAATTAATACACTACTTTCCAAGAGTTAAGCTAGTAACACAAATTTTGAACTTCAAAACACGTGCAAATTTAATTGGTAAAACTTATAAATAAAATGTAAATATATTACTGTTAAATAAAGATTATATTACTATTAGATAAAGATAAAAAAAAGTCAGTTTCTTCTGACCAATTTTTCTTTTATGGAGGAAACTTGATAAACCTACTGAGAATACAATGTTTCTAAAATTTTACTGTGCCCTTATGCTGCTATTAATGCACTAAATTTTATGTGGTTGAAAGGAATGTTTCATTTTCACAAGAACTGTGCAATGTAGTTAAGATTAAGTTTGGCAGGATTAAAAAAAAAAAAAAAAAAAAAAAAAGAGAAAATGTTGAGTCAGTTTTATAATTTCATTTTATTTTTTATTTCAATTTTGTTTTTCATTCCTTCTAAATAATTTTACTATTTTTGTTATTGATATGAACTGAAATTCGGTTTCAGAACCAAATGTGAAAAAAAAATTCTCATAGTGAGTATATATACATACAATTGTAAGCAAACAAATGTCAGGGTTCGTACAGTCCTTAAGAGTCCTTAAAAGTCCTTAAGTTTTTTGGATTCGATTTTTGGTCCTTAAAAGTCCTTAATTTTGGCCAAAACCGGCAGAAGGTCCTTAATTTTAATCCTTAATTTAATCCTGTGAAATTTCTGTCTGTTTTTACGACTGCCATTTTGAGTGTGAATTAGCAGTTCGGAGGTATATTTTTGGCGATTCACTAATATATATAGTTTTTTGAATGGGTTATGATTTCCTATTTCTGATATAAATGGTGGGATACTCGAGTTTCTGAGCAAGAAGTGAAACAAGTATTTTGAAATTATTCACTTTTCTACTGAAGAGCTCTTAAACAACTTTTCGCTTTTGGGATGTGAATTCTTTATGAACGGTCTTAATTGGGCAACTTATCAACATTTTGGCGATTTTTAAGATCATTTCTATAGAAAATTTTAGTTTCCATGATTTGGGAAAATTTTCGACGATTTTTTTAAACATTCTAACATTGATAAATATCATTAAAATAATGATAATATTTGAAATTATATTTAAAAAATAACATATTAGTTAAAAAATATCTTCTTTTTAATTTTTTCATGATAAGAGTTTTCTCATGCAATTTTCTCAGAGTGTTCAGAATTCTCAGAATATGCAAAAGTTTTCTCTATAAAATTAATTTCACACTTTTTCCATCTGATTCTTTTAAAAAATATTTCTGGCTGTTTGCTGTTACAAAATTGGTAGTAATTTTTCTTCCGGACATTATACATTGCAATTTGGAAAGTTTAGAAGGATTTGAAAGCAAGATTTATAGACCCACCATTCCAGAAGATTTTAGAAAATTGTGACAAAATAAAAAATGTCTCTATGGTGTTAACACGTAATGGATGTATTTTGCAGAAAGTTTGCAATGAATTTCTTACTTTTTGGAGAACATCTGGAAGAACAATTAAAACATAATATTTGAATGCTTTACTTCTGATACTAGAAATTTTTCTTACATGCTTTTCTTCCTTTATTTTCTCTACTTTTCACTAAAACAAGTATGAAAATATTAAAAATGCTTCTAATCTTATACGTGAACAGGCATTATAGAAAGGAATTTTTTATTAATAAGAAATTGAAAACTGGCAATTTAAAAGATTCATCTAATATGACTTAATGCATCATACACAGGTCTGACGGTAGGCGTTTCCCACCTGGTGGCAATCACGTGGAATATAAACTTATCTCTGTAGATCCTAATTTTGCTGACTAGTGCCGTTCTAAATTCTGCTTCCAGTGCCTGCTGTAAATTCTAAAGTTTTGCCATTTCTACATTTTGTGCTCGGTGTGTGCCACTAAATTCTAAAAATTCTGCCACATTAGCTCTGTAACCGGCTCTTTCCACATATAGTATTTCCTATTTCTCCTGAATGTTCATATTACTAAAAGAAAATAAAATTAGCAGCTTTTTCTATGCATTCTAAATGCATTTAATTTTTTTTTTTTGAATGACGAATCTTAATTAAATCCAAAAATTCTAAATGAAAAGGAAGCGTTGTTGAGAAGAACCGAGTACATACAAGAAAGAAAATTATTCTTCAAATATATATCAGGTATTATTACGTAAATTACCCAGTTTTTTTATAATTTCAGCCTTTACTATAATTTCCCCGTTTCTATTTCCTCCCCAGAATGCAAATCACTTAGGCAGTATTTTAAACTGAGGTTTTTGGCGTGTAAGATAGAAGTGTTTTTAATCTCCGCTTGCTCGTTGCGTTAGTTCCTGCCAGCTCTGATAATTTGCAACTTTTTGTCTTTGCATTATCGCTGCTGACATTTGAATTGTTATGACGATAGAGTTTACTGAGCCAGCTTAAATTAAAATTAAATTGTAGAGTCTAGACCACTAGTCCACATTTTTTTTGAATTGATTGTTCTTGTTAATTACATCACCAAATAAATTGCATTTGAATTGGTTAGCATAAGAACGCCTTTTAAGTTCTTTTAATAGAGGCTTATTTAAATTTGTTGACTTTGTAGTTACTTTGAGACGTAGCGATAACTTGCTTCACGTCTGTCGGGAGTTTTTTGGACTATTTAACTTTTACCAGATCAATAAACCTCATACAGGGTTCGTAGTGTCCTTATAAGTGCTAATAAGTCCTTATATTTGAAAATAAAATATAAAGGCCCTTATAGATGCTTACTTTTTCTTTAAAGCCCTTATTTTTTTGTTTTTAGTGCTTATTTTTTGCTTTTAGAGCTTTTTTTTTTTTAATGAACGTGCTATTTTTCCCCGTACCAAAGCCGGAACTAAATAAACAACTTTTCTTCCTAATATGGAATGCCAGATGGTGAGTCATACTCCCGGAAATACTTTTCCCCCTTTCTCTGCATTAACATAACCTTTGGTGTGCACGATGGTCAAAGAATTGCGAAAGCAGTAGAAAATTCCGCTACATTCGGCATTCTTTTCCTCCCACCCAAATACTATACACGTTTGAATTTCTATCAAGATCTTAAAAATTTGCATTCTCGTTCTGCTTGGTCAGTTCATATTCATGTTTATTATGGTCATTATGCTTATATTATGAGCATATGTATGAATGTTTATAATAACATAGTTGCAGTAACTGCTGAAGTATAGTAAACTTCCAAAAATGGTTATGTTTTAACACAGATTAGCTTTTCTAAGGAATAATATTTGGAATGGCATAAATAAAGGGATAATAAAGTAATCGAATAGTCAAAATAATTTCATATTTTTGGCCAATATATTATACAGTACGAAGGTTGGGAGGTCTCCCCTTTCTCCGCAAAATCTTGAATATTGAAACTGTTACAGTTTGCTGCAAACAAGCAACGGACCTTTTTTTTTTTTTTTTTTTTTTGGTCACTTTCCATCTGGATTGAATAGGACTAAAGTCGGTGGTCTACCAACCCAAGCGAAGAATATATTCTATTCGAAATTTAACGCCGTCTGTTGAAAATTTGAATGAAAAACACCCAGTTATTTAGTTCTTTATTCTCCCAATACCGGCAGTTGTTGATTCCGATTGCGTAATATCACGTAGGGAGGAATTACAGTGCACGTATTGCGCAATAATGTTTGCGATATTTTGCAGAGATGATTCATTTTGATGTTCAGTCCGAGATTTGTTTATGAACACTTACTTACTAACTGAGAAGTTGTTTATGAATACTTACTCACTGAAAGAGTTTTACTGTGCTCTTGCTAAGCAGAATATTTTTTAGATCCGTTGGTTTATTTTTATATGATGCACATATTGAAATGTCAAAAGCATTTATTTAGCAGAAAAATCTAAAGAGCGGCTACAGTCATCCCCCATCCGCTCCTTCAAGTTACGCTTGACTGTCCGAATATTCGCCAATTCCAAGTATGCGGGTTAGTTAAAAGCTTTTACTGTTAAAGATGACTGCATGAAGCAATTTCTGTCTTCT